CTCTGTACAGGAAGATAAGCACCCCCCGCATCTTTACTAATGTCTCCACTGTACCCTCCTCAGTCCCTAAACAAGCTATTAGCTAACCCTTTCAACATATTAGTTTCAGGTGTTCACCCCAGTGATTCACTATAACTTACTAATGATCATCCCAATAAATCTTGTACTCATCTGATACTATACATAGTTGTTAGAATATGATTGACGGTGTTTCCTATTCTGTACTTTACAATCCCATGACTATTCTGTAACAACAAATTTGTTTTTCTTAATCCCTTCACCTCTTTCACCCATCTCCCAATCCCCTCCCATCTGGCAGCCATCAAAATGTTCTGTGTCTATGAGTCTGTTTCTGTTTTGCTTATTTTGATTTTTAGATTTAATTGTTGATATATATGTTTATTGCCATTTTATTGTTTATATTTATTTTTTTTCTTAACATTTCATGCAATACTAATTTGGTGGTGATAAACTTTATTAGCTTTTACTTGTCTGGGAAGCTCTTTATCCTTCTATTCTAAATGATAGCTTTCCTGGTTAGAGTAACTTTCGTTGTAGGTCCTTGCTTTTCATTACTTTTCCATGGTGTAAATGTCCCACAGCTTTTTTATCCATTCATCTACTGGTGGGCACGTGGACTGTTTCCAGATCTTAGCTATTGTAAATGCTGCTGCTGGGAACATAGGGGTGCATATATTCTTTCTGAAACTCCATACTGTTTTCCATGGTGGCCGCACCAGACTGCGTTCCCTTTTCTCCACATTCTTCCCAGCACTTGTTTGTTGCTTTCTTTGTGATAGCCATTCTGACAGGCGTGAGGTGCTCTCTCATTGTGGTTTTAATTTGCATTTCTCTGATATGTGACTTTGAGCAGTTTTTCATATATCTCTTGACCATTTGTATGTCCTTTGGAGAAATGTCTGTTCGGGTTTTCTGTCCATTTTTAAATTGGATTGTCTTCCTTTTGTTGAGTTATATGAGTACTTTATATATTTTCGGATATTAACCCCTTATCAAGTCTATCATTGGCAAATATAGTCTCCCATACATTAGGATTTGCTTTTCATTTTGATGGTGGTTTATTTTGAGCAGAAGCTTTTATTTTGATGTCCCATTTATTTTCTCCTTAGTTTCCTTTGCCCTTAGGGTATGTATCCGTAAACTCATTGCTACATGAGATGCCCGAGATTTTACTGCCACGATCTCCTTTAAGATTTTTATGGTTTCATGCCTTACATTTAAGTCTTTTATCCACCTTGAGTTTATGCTTGTGTATGGTGTGAGTGGTCGTTTCATCCTTTTGCATTTGTCCAGTTTTCCCAGAACCATTTGTTGAAGAGACTGTCTTTACTGCATTGTATGTTCTTGCCTCCTTTGTCAAATATTAATCGACTGTAATGGTGTGGGTCAATTTCTGGTTTAGTTATTTGGGTCTTCTATTTATTTCTGTTAATCCACCTAAAGATTTGCCAATTTTATTGATCTTTTTAAAAAACAAATCTTGGTTTCATTTTATTCTCTGATCGTTTCCTTCTTTCTGCTAGTTTTTGTTTTTCATTTCCTAGTTTTTGTAAGTTTAAGTGTTAATTTCTACATTTTTGTGGATATTTTTAGTTTTCATTCTGATTTCTAGTTTTCATTGTGACCAGAAAATATACTTACGTAATTTTTTTTAAAAAAACTGAATTTATAAAGACTTGCACTGTGGGTGTGACTCAATGGTTAAGTGTCCGTCCATGAACCAGGTTAGATTCCTGGTCAGGGCATATGCCCAGGTTGCAGGCTTGATCCCCAGCAGAGGGGTGAGCAGATTGCAGTGGATTGGTGTTTCTGTCCCTCTTTTTTCCCATCTCTAAAAGTCAGTTTTAAAATTTATCAAGAGTTGTTTTGTGGCCTTACGTGATGTATCCTGAAAAATGTTTCATGTACTTTTAAAAAGGTTGTATTCTGCTATTGTTGGGTGCAATGTTCTTATTAGATGTCTGTGAAGTCCGATGGTTTTGTAATGTTGTCTTTATTCTTCATTGATCTTTTGTCTGGTTGTTCTGTCCGTTATTGAAAATGGGTAGTGAGTCTCATCTTACTGTTGCCATCTATTTCTTTCATTAATCCTATCAGCGTTTTGTGTGTTTAGGACAGGCGTCTTCAAACTGCGGCCCGCAGAGGAGTCTGATCCGGCCCGCCAGGTTTTTTGGGCAGTGAGCGCAGCCGAGGTGTTACAGTAGGAATTAGTAGTTCATATAGTCCGGCCCTCCAGCTCTCTGAGGGACCGTGATCTGGCCCCCACTTTAAAAAGTTTGAGGACGCCTGGTTTAGGAGCTCTTTTTAAAAAAGTATATATTTTACTTTTTTACAGAGAGGGAGGGAGAAACATAGATGAGAATCGTCGATCAGCTGCCTCTTGCACACCCCCTACTGGGGATGTGCCCACAACCAAGTTACATGCCCTTGACGGGAATTGAACCCGGGACCTTTCAGTCCGCAGACCGATGCTCTACCCACTGAGCCACACCAGCTTTGGGCAGGAGCTCTGGCTTTTGATACGTGCGCATAGTTCTGTCACCTTGGTCATTAATGTCCTTTTGTGACAAATGTATCTGTTGGGAGCAGATGTGGGATGATGAAGTCTCATTAACATTGCTTCCCTGAGAATGAAGGGAAGCTGGGATGAGCAGAAGGGATGATGTAGGTGAGGACCAGATATGAGTTTATGACTGTGCACCAGAGACACTGTGGTGGTTTGGGGCAGGAGTATTCAGTTAGAGAGGCATAGAAATTGGGAAGGACTTAGGGGGAACTAGTTTTCCTAAGTTATTAATTATGGGGCAAATAGGAATGAGTAAGCTAGGTTCCAAATTAAGACCAAGAAAAAAATACCACCAGAACCTCAGTAAGAGGAAAGATTTCCCCCACCCCTTCTCCCTTTAATAAATTCTCTCTCCTTTTTCAGTACAAATTCCTAAAAAGTAAAAATGAGCCTCATGTGAGAATTGAAGGGAAGGACACTGATGACTGGCTGTGTGTGGACTTTGGTAAGTTATGTTGACACATTGAACTATTTTCAACTGCAGGACTGAGATCAAATTGCTGAGTATTTTCCCATATAAATTTTTCAAAATGTTTTCATTGTAACCCAGGTGTTCTTATTCACATGTGAGATGCTCACCTAACCTGGTATGTATGTAATGAGTCAAAGAGGTCAGAAAGAGGATAGACCAGGATAGGTAACATGGTAGAGATCCCTTAGTGGCACCAGAAGGCCTGGGACACACCTAACCATCGTGGCCTTAAATGCCTTGGCTGAGGTGAAGAGCACTTCCGACTTAGGACTGGAATTTGAAGAGACCTAACAAATCTGGGTATTAATATATACACATAGTCTTGAAGTATTTCCCCACAAGGTACTTACTTCAAAGGGAAAAATAGTAACTGTCAAGAACTGAGGGGAGCCTGAGATTTTCTCTTGTCAAGCAGCCAGTTTCTGGCTAAAGGAGTCAAGGCTGTTATTGTAATAGCACAGCCAACAGCAGCACTTTTGGAGCGGGCTCCCTAAGCCCGTTTATATAGAGTAGGGGTGTCGAACTCAATCAGAGAAGGGGCCAAAATCTAAAATCCAGCCTAAATCGCGGGCCGAATGGTTTACTGAACAGTCATAAACTGTCATTGTGATGGAAACGCAGCGGAGTGCAGTGATGACAGCGCGGTGCGGGCCACATTGCAAGGCCTGGCGGGACGGATTTGGCCCGCGGGCCTTGTGTTTGACACATGTGATATAGAGCAACATGGGCCTGTACACACCGTTCTAAGAGAGGAACCGGATTTTACAGAATTGACATTGTTTATGATGGGCGGGAAGCAGCTCCTTTTGCAATGGTGGAAGACGTTTTTTCTGGCAAGGCTATAAGTCAGGGTTTCTCAGCTTTGTCACTTAACATTTTAGACCAGGTAATTTTAGTAGGTAGGAATATCTTGTGTATTATCCTACTTTCCCCATCCATAGCTGCCCTTTGCTCCAGAGCAAGTATCTCAAAAAAGATAGCCCAGAACAAAAGGCAGTGACACATTTGGAGAATTCTCAAGAGAGAGCTGACTGGCAGTCACTTGGAATACAATAACTTGTATATATTGGCATCATGCACCCTTCTGTGTGATGCACTGAGACAAAAACACAGCAGCATTCGGTGGTATTTTACTGGATGGGCCGAGTTTTCTAACAGGTTTTCAGACAATGCTCTTCTGTGGTCCACACCTTGAGAACTATTATTTGAGTTCCTATAGTTACACTGTGAGTAATACACTATTAGAACAGCATCAGACAGACTGCTGCTGCTTTGTAACTCTTACCTGTCCTTCATAGGCAGGATGGTGGTTCATTTGATGCTTCCGGAGACCAGAGAAATGTATGAACTAGAGAAGTTATGGACCCTGCGTTCCTATGACGACCAGTTAGCTCAGATAGCACCTCAGGCGTTACCTGAAGACTTCATTCTTGGAATAGAAGATGACACGTCATCCCTGACTCCAGTGGAGTTCAAATGTGAATAAAATTCTGGTTTGCTCATTTCAGACTGCGGGTAAGTTATTGTCAACACAAGTCTTACCTGAATGGGCATCATGCCGACACTAGAATGTGGAGAGTGCAGGTAAAGGAGCTTCAACTGCAGTTTTAATGTTGTCTTTGTTCCTGAGCTGCCAGGAGGGTTTCCTGGAGTTATCACTGGTCCCCATGTTAACTCTCAGATTTTTTATTAATTTTGCTTCAGTATAAGTATTACTATGGACAACATTTTAAAAAATAAAGCAAAAACACATAACTAGCCCTATAATTCCAGTTCATCTGCGAACAGTATTATCCAGGTTCACATTACGTACCATGGGATAAAGGAAATAATAGATATTGGTGCTTACCTTGAGAATGACTTCAGTATTACTAAAAATCTGTTTAAATTTGTAACTTACATTCATATTTACTTGAAAAATCAAAAATAAAAACAGTAAGCTGCACCTAATGATGAAAAACTTTATTCTGCATCAAGGTGTCTGGAAAATGAAGCTGCATTTGGGCACATTACAAATGAGGAATGATCCATATGTGGTGAGTGCAAACTCAAGAGTTATTTTCTAGCTATTACCAGATACTCCATTACCAATGCTTAATTCAAAGTAACACATGATTTGCCACACTAAAGGCTAGAAGTGAAATATGACAGAATTTAAATCAGCAGATATAAATGCAGCACCTATTTGTATTTTTTAAAAAACAACTCATCAAATATTGGCAAAATCAAATACTGAGGAAGAGTTCTGGCCATAAGCACATCTCACCTAAAAACCAACCCGAAAGCCAGTCCATGATTATTTTTTTAAGCAATTTGCTGGTGGGGGGGGTTAGGAATGCTAGATGAATTCAGTGACAAGAAGGGCACTTTTTGGCTAACACTACAAAATAAACTGGTTTTCTGAAAACATTTCAAGTCATTTCCAAAATGTCTGATACACTGATCATTAGAAAAACTTACCTAGTCTGTAGAAATTCATTTTGAAATACAAATGAGGCAAAATGATTTTTTCAGGGTTACTATATATGTCCTTCAGATCCATGTAATGTGATGACTGTGATCCTTTCATGAACAAAAAGCAACAAACAATTCTGAGAGCAGGGTGCCTTGGAGACCACCCACATAATTCAACATCCTGGGCTTTGCTATCAAATTACAGGACGGGCAAATGAGTTCAGGTCAAAGGCTTTATCACAGTCATCCGAACTACATCCCAAAAATTGTTTTCTTACAACAACTGGTTGCACAGAATACAGAAATCCTGCTGTATTTAACGTAATATTTTAGGTGGCCTTTCCTTTTTATCATTGTTTAAAAATCTTCAAAACAGCTTAGTGAGGCTCATGGCAGTGCCTGGCACATGCAGATGGAGCTTTTCATGGCCTTCCAAGGAACACTCACACTATCTGACTGCCCCACTGGGCTTCACAAGCAACTCTTGGGGTCTGCTCAAAGGGTAAACCAATTGCTGAGGTGGATTGGCAAACTAAGCACCTGTAAGACAAGCTGAGGCTTGCTTTTTGCCAATCGTTTCAAGTCCACAGGGCTGCATATCTCCATTGCTGCACTTTCTTCAGGTAGCGATAGTCAGAAGCACAAAGCAATTATGCACTCAATCACTTAGCCCAACAAAAGCACTGAAGCCATTTGAAACTAGCCAGCCATTCCAGAACTTCCTGCGACCACTTCACGCTGTTCGTACCATCAAAAACTTTCCCTGCCACAAACAAAAAGGAAATGGTATTGCTGCTCTCCAAATATAGGCACTGCTCCGTCACTGGACATTAGACTTTCCAACTAAAAACTGTCAAAGCCTCAAAAACCTGAAATTAATTTTCCAGCTTTACTGTCACCAGCCAGAAGTAAAAAAATTTTTTTCAGTTATTTGCCTGTTAGCTAATTAAATTTTATTTTTAAAAAACAGTTGGACTTTTATCTTTATAAAGTATATAAAAATTTCAAAAAAAAACAAACCCCACAAAATTTGCTTTCATTGCATACTGAATACCTGAGGTAGTTGAGTAAAATGCACATTTAATACCCCTGCCAACACCATTCAGCACTTCCCTTAGGTTATTCATGTTAGTGTTAGATAAAAATGAAACAGAAGTTTTTCTATGTTGATATCATAACAGTTAAGTTCCTATAATAATTCTATTCTCGCTTAGGAGCAATCTGTTTTTATTTGATGAATTTAGTGAGTGCATCACTAAGCCAATTTCTTGCATAAACGGGAACATTAAGAAAAATTAGCAAGTTTTACACTGGAAATACAACACAAGGGAAGTGCAGAGCTCCTCTTTTCCTCCCTCCCCCTCATTTTTTCCTTTTAAAGCTGGGTGTCACCGTTTCAGAGAGCATAGAGATACATTCTCACAGAGACAGGAGTTCGGAAGTTGCCTGGTACTCAGAAACAACTGGCTAGGTAAAACTTGTGCATGTGATTCTGGATGGGTCAGCCGCCGTCTGTTGGTTAAGCAATCTGTCTTTGGTTTGGCATCTGCCTCTGTGGTGGGCTGTTTCCTGAGCCTTTACTTCCGTCTTGACTGCGGTGGTCCACTTTGCAGAGCTCTCTGCTGTTGGTGCTGCTTTACCTGAGACAGAATTTCCTGAATTTTCCTCTGGGCAACCTACAGAAGGAGAGAGTTTTCAAATTCCCACCTGATCAAAGTTACTCAAAGTTGGTTTTACTTTTACATTTCAAAAACTTCAAACAGAAGTGTATTTGAAGATTAATTATCCATCCTAATTAGTTTGCTAGTAGTCTCTGAAGCCACCTGCTAAAAGGAATTGTTTGGCACTAGAATCAATGGGCCCACCTGGAAGCACAGGCACAGGGATAGGACAGACAGAGCTCTCAGTGTCTAGGGAAGGGGCCATGTCCACCTGTGAGGGTGGCAAGAAGAAGAACGAGAAAGACAAGACATTCAAGGAGAAGCATGAATAGAGAAACTCAGGATAAAAGTGCTTCCTGGCCGTTAGTGGAATTAAGAAATCTGGTAAAAGTGAGCCAGTCCTTGGGCCTGGGCCATTCCATTTGTTTGAACATCTGCCTTCCCTGCCATAACATCTGTGCCACCTGTAAGGAGCCTGTGGGACATATTAAGAAAAACTTTTGTTAACAGTAATAATGCAGTGACTTATCTCTTTAGTTCTTCTCACTCAGCCATTTTTAACTTAGCTGTGAGGTCAAAGTAGACTCAGCCTAGAGTTCTGTCAGTGTGTTCTCTTTTTTCTATCCTGAATTCTGTACCACCTGGAATTAAACCAACTCATATGAAAACATAAATCAATTAAAATAATTTTTAAGTGTTTGGTACCTACAGGAAAATTGCTTCCATTTGGGGAAAAAGCACTAGAACTTGCTTATCACATTAGAGCTCACTTGCCTGGCAAGCATAGAAGTGACCAGTTATTTTGACCACCACTTGATCATTCTCATCAGGCGTCTGGTCACGTGGGACAACAACTTCTGCGCTAGATAAATTCTGGAGCTCATTCACCTGAAAAAGATGAATACAAATCATGTTAACTTTTGTCTTTTGTTACCATTTCCTGAGCACTTACTATGCCAAACACTAGCTATGGCTTTACAAATTTCACCCAATCCACTAATGATTCTGTCCGGTTAGTAATACTGTCCCCACTGCAAGATGATGAAAACCAAGGCTTAGGGAAAGAAACTGACTTGCCCAAAGCCACACAAGTGAATGACCAAATTCAAACCCTGAGAGTCTGCTTCCAAAGTGTATGCTCAATCACTTCAAAATTGTAAATAGCTTTGAAAATGACTTAGTTACATGTACTAAATCTGGGAAACATTCTTTTTTTCCAGTTACAGAGTTACAAGTTATAAAAGATGAAATTAAAAAAAACTTTTCTCATGTCACTGTGCAATAAAAATTAAAAACTGAGTCATGTCAACAGAAAAAAGCTAAGTGCCCCTTGTGAATGAGTTTTCTCACACAAAGTGGTCTCAAAGAGAGGCATTACTTTCACCAGTAGCTGACACCAACACTCGGGAGGAACAAAAGAGTCTTCTCCAAACGTTGGCCCAGATGGTCCTGCTTTTTTTAAATCAGCCAACATTCAGAGACGTGGAACTCCTAAGTACCTGTCCGTGCTCTCCCTTTCATACCACTGCACAGGGTTTGCTGAAGTACTTGCCGTTTTGCCTCCTTTTCCAATAACTCTGCCAGCAGCAAAGGATGGCACTCTGATATGAGCTTCAAGTTTCACCTCTTCTTTAGGACTAACGAAGTTTTCTTCTTTAATTTTCCCATAAATTCTTCCCTGAGCCTACAGATGAGAACACAGCCTATCAATCAGTGTCATTCATGTAGGAGACAAAAAGTCCTTTTACATTAAAAATAGCCTAAGTCGCCAAAACCGGTTTGGCTCAGTGGATAGAGCATTGGCCTGTGGACTGAAGGGTCCCGGGTTTGATTCCGGTCAGGGGCATGTACCTTGGCTGCGGGCACATCCCCAGTGGGGGGGGTGTAGGAGGCAGCTGATTGATGTTTCTGTCTTGTCGATGTTTCTGACTATCTCTCTTCCTTCCTCTCTGTGGACAATCAATAAAATATATTTTAAAAAAACAACAACAAAAAAACCAAAACGCCTAAGTCTACTGGAGTGGTCCTTTGCCAATGATGCGTCTGCATTTGATAGATGGAAGATCACATAAGAGACTGAGAGGTTAGGAAGCCCTGGAAAAAGTTGACCGGCACTGCATGTCACAGATGAGTCCATTGAATGATGGGTGAAAGAATGAACCATATTCTTTAGACAAAAGTTAAAGGAGTTAATTAATAGTCATCCTAACTAAAAATAAATCACTTTTGTGGGCAAATGGCCATTTGCTCTTCACCTGAAAGGTAAAACCTCTCCTCCAGGTAATAAGTAATTCTATTTTTCCTGAGCAGAAGAGACTTAGGGAGAACTGCAGAGCCAGCTGTGCTAGGCTCACAGGAAGCCAGCTCTTGTCTCAATGGGCCGCTGAGAGGAATTGTTTTTTCCTCTTAACCAGGTGGTTTCTACTTTGAATAAGACTACAAAAAGTTAACATATACTTCTGATATTTACAGTCAGCACATCCTGTCACCTACTGCATACAACTAGATGTTACACGTAAGAAACCTCCCTATGGTGCGTCAGTTAGTTTGCTCTGCAGAGCTGTTTAATTGGACAGAGTGACTAGAGAGGCAATGAACTGGGGCTAACAGTTAATCCAAGGGTAAGAGGAAAAGCATTTTAATTCAAGTTTATGGCTTCTCAGGGGCAAGGGAAATTTGAGGAGTTTTCCAAGGCATTAATCAGGCAGGCTTGTGAATTTCAGCATTAAAGGCTCACCTTCACATATAACAAGGCAGCTGAGCAAATTCTCTTTCGAGAGACAGGTAAATCCAAAAACCACTAAAGAACTCTCAAAACAAAGGCTTTGGATTTGAAATGTAATTGGGGGTTTCTACTCTTTAAAAAAATTTTAATTTATTGGGGTTACACTGGTCATAAAAATTACATGTTTCAAGTATACAGTTCTAACTTTTGTAAGATTGTATTTATGCCAAACTGACCATGGTGGCTGGCAAGCAAGATCTCAAATACTCCTCAGTCTTTAGAAATGTCCATCCAGAAATTGTTTCTACTGAGTATGAGATACATTTAAGAAGAAGCCAGGTTAGAGTTCCTGAAAAGAAGGCATTCCTATTCTCCCATCCATTCATTGCTGCCTGTGCACAGACTCCAGAGCACACACCTTGAACTGGGCCTCCGGTGGCCCGGTGATAATCACCATCCTCACTTTCGCATCTGGTGCTTCGGCTGGAGCGATCTGGAACAGACCCATCGGGTTAGGATAGAAAGGTCACACAAACAGCCTGATATTTGCACCTGGCTTAGTGACACGTAGAAATTCTTCCGGAAGGAAGTTATGAAGAGACAGTAATTAACGTGGGCTTATTAGTTATTGCTCCTGCCACACACTTGTCCTTACACTGTGCCTGGTCCTAATCTACAAGTCCATGTGCAGCCCCTCAGCTAATTCTCACTCCATCCTGACAAGGCACTGCCTCTGCTTTACTGTGGGCAGACGGAGGCTGGAGCAGTTAACTGATCACAGCCAACACAGCTGGAGGGAGCGCTGGGTCTGTGTCCACCGCCATGCCCGTCACGACACCACTGCCACTCAGAGCGTGGTCTTTGGCCCGTGTGCATCAGAGCCCCCAAGTTCCAGTGTGAGCAAGACTCTGATAAATTCACAAATGCAGATGACTGGTAAATTCCCTCCAAGTGTTGTCACTGAGACCATATAAAGTAAAGTAACTTCAGGATAGACTGTACCTGCAATTCAAATAATAAGGTATCAAGAAGACTCATGTTCTGTGACTGACTGTACTTAAAGCTCCAGGGCCACCGCAGCTGGCAGAACAGTACCTTAATGGAAGCTCCTGCAAAGCGAGAAAGCTGTTTGATGTGCTGCCCCTGCTTGCCAATAATGGCACCGACAGATAAGGCTGGGATAAACAGATGGACGGTCTCCGTTTCTGATTGCTGTCGGAAAAGAAACACAGTACAGTCATGCTTATTGCATACGATCAGGCTATTATGGTGGTACAGGGAAAGGAGCTTTGCGTACGGCAGGAATACTGGGATAGATGTAGGAAAGCCACTGTGGAAACTGACCTGAGTTTACCTAACAGGACGAGAAAATCTTATTTATATACTCATCCTGAAAACACTTGGATCTAAATTATCACTTCTGTACACAATTTTCTTAAACTTTAAAATGTCACCAAATTATAGATTTACAAGCTCTATAAATATTACAAAGTTTAAATGTATTGGAATAGAGGCACAGATTATGTCTACAATGAAGATTCCCCCATCACTATATCCAAGGAAGATTCTTAAGTTATGAGAATAAAATCACATCACAGAAAAGTCAAGGAAAAAACCCCACTGTTCCTTCACTTTAACCTGACCTCGATTTCACTGTATCTGAGGACACTACTGGAGAGACCCGCCCCTGGCCAGGCGGGTCAGGGGGTTAGAGCGTTGTCCCATATACCAAAAAAGGTTGTGGGTTCAATTCCTGGTCCTGGCTCATAGGATCTATCGTAGGCATGGACAGGAGACAACCACTGTGTGTGCCTCACACTGATGTTTCTCTTCTCCCCATCCTTTCCATTCTCTAAAAAAAATAAAATAAAAAAATAGAAAACATCCTCGGGTGAGGATTAACAAAAAGTAAAAATCCATTAAAAAACTAAAAAACAAAACATGACCTGGCTGAGGTGGCTCAGCTGGTTGGAGTGTCATCCCATGCCACGGAAGATCGAGGGTTCAATTCCCAATCGGGCACAGACCTGGCTTGTGGGTTCCATCTCCAGGCGGGGCATGTACAAAAGGTAACCAATTGATGTATCGCTCTCAAGTCTATGTCTCTATCCTCAAGTGAACATTAAATACCTTCAGAAAGTCTGTTTTCCAGTTTTTCACTAATTCATGTAAAATCTTTAAACATAAATCTTGTGCCCTTGTACAAATGCTTCTAAAAATTTATGTAATTAAAATTCTCTGACAGAGCATAACCATTTAAAACTGACAGATATTTCTAAATTCTCATACTAACGTATCTTGCAGTCCGTATATTAAGGGGGCTATTTTAGTTAAAACCATGCCTTTCACACTGATGGAAAACAGCAATATCTTATTCCAGACCCCACACCTAGTTTTCTACAAAAAATAATCTAAATTCTGCGAATTTGTTCCTTTATAGTCCCACCATGCACCTATTTCCTGCAAGAGCACCTAAAGTTCAACTCTAGGAAATATTTTTACTAAAAACTATTGGATTTTGTTTCTTCAGCATCTGTCTAAATAGATACACAATATTCTTTATAGCTTGGTGTTTCTTTGGTATTCCATATGTTTCCAAGGATGTCATAACACACACAACATAGTTGTCAGCTAAATGAAGTCTTTTCTTGTAGCTCTAGACTCCACAGCATTCTTAGGATAAACATCAGAAGACTGCCTTATCACTACACTTTTTTTTTTAATCAAGCTCTTGCCTGTAGAGATTTGTAATAGGGGCTTGTCCTGCACAGCTTAGGTGACTACTGCTGCTATCAGTGAAGAACACCAAATAATATTACTTCATTCTTCATGAGAACCATGCCTTTTTCCGGAAAGCATCATACCTCAGCCTGCCAATGTTGTGCAGTTAGCACACGCCATTTACTCCCAAGGGGCCCTTTAAGGCCTATCGTATTTTAATAACTAGATAGACCAACTTGAATTAATGCTGACACTGACCATAAACTCTGTTCAATGTCAGCATCTATTACCTGCATCTTCTCAGTGCATGAGATGACACTCAACCAACTGAGCCACACTGGCCAGGGCTTAACCAATTAAAAAAAATATATATATATTTTATTGATTTTTTATGAGAGGAAGAGAAAGGGATAGAGTTAGAAACATCAATGAGAGAGAAACATCGATCAGCTGCCTCCTGCACACCCCCTACTGAGGATGTGCCCACAGCCAAGGTACATGCCCTTGACTGGAATTAAACCTGGGACCCTTCAGTCTGCAGGCCAAAGAAGCTCTATCCACTGAGCCAAACCAGCCAGGGCAATTTTTCTTTTTCTTTTTTAAGTAAAGCTAGGACCTAAATATTGTATGTCACTGAGAACATCCATATCACATTCTTCTGAATTATATCCTTTTTGAGGGAAGAGAAGTTTGGCAGTGATAAAAACCTCTTAACTGATCAGCCTAAATCTTAAGGTGTAACTCGCCCAGAACTGTCCCACTGTATTTTGCCATGATTATAATTATTTTTTTTCTGGGCCTTGGTCCAGTAAGATTTTATGCTGCTTACCAAGTACACATAACCTAAAAAGATAAAACAGAGGTGAAGAAAAAGAGCATAGAGACCTGAACAGAAGAGATAAGATGAAGCCAGAAATGCTACTACACAAATTTGACTCTCAGCTTCTTAGCAGCTAATTAAAAGAAAAAATTCAGTAGCATGATTTACCGTATCTATAAGAGAAAAATTCCTTTTGCTTAGTAAACACTACTTCTTTTCCTGTGACTGATCTGGAGCAACCAGTGGATGCCCTCAGAGGATACAGTAACCAGCATCATCCTCTGAGCGTGAGCGCAGCCAGCAGAGCCCCAGCTTGTCAGTCGGAAAGTACTGAAGACCACGCAGAGGCAAAGACAAAGTCGTTAAAACTCAAAGAGTGAACAAAAGCTGAATCACCTTTCACCAGTGACGAAAGGCTATTGATTTGTTGAGGTGTTGGGGTTTAAAAGTTGTGTCAAGTTTGGAAAAGGAGTGGTGGTCAACAGAGAAGGGTCCAAAGGACCAAAAGCAAACAGAAAGAAGGGCAAAGACCTGCAGGAAGAAGCAGTATGCAGACAGAAATGAGCTCTGCACAGGGATGAAAGGGCAGCAGCAGAACCTGTCAAGTACAAAAGGCATCAGCACCCCAGGAGGTGGTGCCCAGCCTGACAGTGACGTGTCCTCTTGGCACCTTAATACAGAGTTGACTCATCAGATGGCTTGATGAAGACATTTCTGAACATCGCCCAATTCCCTTTGCTCCAATTCCATATCCACCAGGCATCTCCCTGACCCTACATTAATTTTAAAGAAAAATTTCCTCTGAGAATATAAGGCACCTCACATAAACATCCTGTCCCCTTGCCAATCATGACACTGGCTCTCTGGTACAAAGCATTCTGACATGGGACTCAGCAGAGTAAGCCATGTTTTCGGGACTCAGGCTGTAAGATAAGCAGATAACTTCATGTTTACTTACAAAACTAAAACCAGAACAATGGGTATGATAAGCCTCTTCCACCTGTGAATTCAAGTCTCTCGAGATGGAGCTTGAAAAAAATGCATCAGCATTGCCCTTGCTGTTACACGCTCTGCATTTAAGTTCATGTTAGCTGCATTATCTCAAACCCTTTTTCCTAAACCTTCAGAGGTGAAGGATATTCACAGGACACAAGCTGCTTCCCAGTGGATTTCTGCCAGATGCCTATCGGCAGAACTTCCTTTGGAGCTGTTGGCAGACTCTATGTTAGAGCTTGAAAAAACAAAAGAACAAAGCTGCTCCACTGAAAGTTTGCATAACTGGTGCAGTCTGCCAATGAGTAATTCCTAATTATCTATGATACAAGAATGAGCAAACAGTAAGGTTAAGTGTATTTACTTTGTGGGGAACAGAACCCAAGACATGACAAAGGCATGGAGACGTGCATGCCAGCCAGCAAGAGCGGCCTGCAGGAACCTGGAGGCACGCCAGTGTTTCCTTGGGCTTGTAAAGTAGATACTCCTGGGTTTCTTTGTTTTGTTTGAATGGATTTTGGTCTGGAACTGGAATTGAGTTTACTCAACTCCATGACCTGAAAAGAATATCGAAATCTTAAACAAAAAAAAAGGGCAAAGAACCTTTCCCCCCATAACAAGTTATCAGGGCCTCTTAGAGGTAATTAATGTGTGCAAGGGGTTATTTACTTTGAAATTGTTCACTGACAAAAGAGCTGTGCCCATGGTAAGAAATCCTCAGAGACTCCACGAAACAGCCACCTGATCTAAAAATTCCCTTCAACTCCTATTTTGTTTTTACAAGAGCACCTTAAACTAGCCGAGACGTAAGCAACTGCTCACCTTTCTTGTCTCTTCCCTAAGCAGGAAGTTAGCAATTTTAAGATGATGCTATTATGTGGAGACTTTTGGGAAGACTCCAAAGGCACTACCAAAATTAAGACAACAGCACTTGGTCGAACTCCTGCCAACCCCAAAGCACGCTGCCAACACTGCCAAGCCATGGCTGTGGCTGTGGGTGACGCTGTGTGCCAGCTCCAGCTCTGCTCTGCTCTCTAGCTGCCAATTGCCTCTTCCCTACTGTTTGAGCATTTCTGAAAGGAGCATTTCCTGTCATTTATAAACTCCAAGTTTGCCAATTAAGTGCATGAGCCAGCTGCTAGGCGGAACTGCAGACTTTTTGTCTGTTGGAAGAACCAACTCTTCGGCTCTATGGGAATAATCAACCTGGCAGGTTCCAGGGAGAAGAGGATGGACAGAGGCAAGGAATTTATCCAAAGACAAAATGCATCCATTCTATCATATTACAAAGCAGAGTGAGGAAACAGGAGGGAAAAGAAAACGAACCAATTATATAAAAGAGGAAGCACTACATAAAAAGTCAGATTCTTTGAATCATTTTGTCATCAAAACCTACTCCTTGCCAGGCAATATACACTGAAGTAAAGCAGAGATTTACTGCTAACCACAGGGCATCACGGATCAAGAGCTGACTTAGTAAGAGCTGATTTCCGCAGGGAGATTCTAAGGAGCAGCAACGGTGGCTCCTGGCCGCAGTGAATGCCTGCCAGCCTTTCTCTCTCTAGCCCGCGTTTAAAAAATATCCCAGACCTTCCACAGTATGTGCTTCAGAAGGAGAAAAAAGAAGCCAAAGGGAATAAAAGGACTGCAGGAAGCAATGGCAAGCAAAAAAAATAAAGCTTTGGTAAATTTCACTATTGCCTTTAAAAATAGTAGTCAGTGTATTTGTTTCAAAAAGGGGTGACCACTTATTAGTGATTTGGGTTTAGAAAAAGAACAGTTTACTAGTACAGTAAAGGCATAGTTATTCCAACTAAGTATTCCTCCCCCGTGAAGTTATATCCTAAAACAAAACTGTTCAAGAATTGATCTCTCAAACATTAAACCAAAAAATTCCCTGACAGTTATTTGGAAGTAGACTTGACGCTAACTGGTATCCAGAGACAGTACGATTCTCTGAAAACGGTGTTTTCCCTTTATTCGATGAAAATAACCTGCAGGAGTGAGTGGAACTAGAACATGGACTTTTCTCCTCCAGAATTAATTAAGAGTCTCCTGGTTTGTGACGGGAAGGAAGGGAGATGGGTAGAGGGGTGGGAGGACCTTAAAAGTTTACCTCTTCCCTTCCAAGAGATCCCTTTAACAACACGCAATACTGCTAAGTCCAGAGCACAAACAGTCTTCCCTGACACCTGCTCTCTCTTTAGTTACAGTCTCAGTGTCCCAGCTTCTCTGCAGGCTGAAGTGGACAGGTATGATGTCCCAGCAAACAGGACACCAGTGGAAGTGTGAAAAGCTGCCTTCAGGCAGCCTCTTTAAATGAGGTGACTTCCAATTGTGATCCTTCATTCTTCTTGCTGGCTGGAATCGGACACAATGGTTGAAGCCTGTTCTGTCACTGGATCAGGAGATGGGTGATAAGCCAGCAGGCGGCCGGCCCTAGGTGATACCGCGGAACCACCACCAGAGCCATTGGACTGTCTGTCCTCCGAGTCTTCTCTTAAAAAAGGAAAATTCATTTTAACCACATTTCTTCACTCCAACACACAGCCAAACCTAATCTTGATGATATAGCATGCCAAAATCTAGCAGCATAAAAACAGACATATGGCAGCATCCCACAGACAGCTTTGGCCTGATAGTTGCCTATGGATTGGAATGACAGGTGGTGAGAGAAAGGGGGAAGGGGGTGGGGAGTTTTCTCACTACGCTTTAAAGTAAAGCCTCAATCAAGTTAGAAAGAGGGACATAAGAGGGATCTGTTAATGCTTATCCTAAATACTGTCTCCCACGCATTAGGCTTGATAGGAGATCTACTTTTCCAACATTTAGGTCCACCCTCCACAGACCAGTAAATACTTTCCAGACCAGAACAGCAGTTCCTGACAATGAATGGGCAACAAAAAGCTCCTAACGACCCTTACAAAACCACAAGCTCTGAGCCTCCTTTAAAAAAATAATAAAATAAAAAATTTAAAAAGATCCTTGACCTTCTTCTCCCATCCTTAAAATTGCTACTTGTTTAAGTCACTCAGACATTTCAAATTGTAAAAGTGCTTCAGAAGTATAAGTTCTTAATATGATCTCCCTTCTCTTAAAACAATTTTTTAGCAGCATAGAAACCCAATACACAAAACTGTATAATCAGAAAATGGACTACATCCAAAGAATATTCATATTATTTTATTTGAATACTAAAAAAAAAATTGATACCTATCAATTAAGTTTAGGAATTTTTGCTACTGAAGTATAGATGATGATAATGTCCAAGAATGTTGACATATTACCACTCGTAGTACGAAAGGCTTTACTGACTGGAACATGACATGCAACCAGCAGAGAAACAGGAGGAGGAAGAGAGAAGTTAGGTGGCTCACCCGAAGAGAAAGCCAGTTAGGGCAGCAGCAGAAGTGGGGTTGAGGGAGCTTTTATAGCACAGAGTTACTGTGAATCAGCTCCTATAGCTTCCAATGCATGTAATTTTACACAGAATTGTCAGGGACACATCTGCCCTAACCTCAGCATATGACAAACGCACCTGTTTGTAATCCAGATTCTAGGAGGCATATTAGAGGGAAGCCCATATCCTCTCAATTCCCACCGAGGCTCACTTTTACTCTCTTCTCCAACTTTTTACATTCTTTAAAAACTAAAAATGTGTGACCTAAAAAAAAAAAGAGCCTTTCACAAATTACCCATCTAGTTCAGTTTCTTCATTGTTCAGGTCAGAAAAACCCAAAGCGAGAGGAGACTAACCTATGGTGACACAAGCCCAGGGCAGACCTGGGCCAGACTGGGCTCTCACCTGCAGGCTCTTTCCACCTGCCCTGGTTAGCACCAAGGTCAAACACATCAGCTCCTTCTCCCTGCCTCTGGCTGTAGTGGACAGGTCTGCTTACGGCACAGTGAGTCTGTTCACATGACACGGAGCTGGGCCTGACTCTGAGGCCTATCCTTAGATGGATGGGCTTTGTCATATGGTCTCCAAGCCCAAACATGGGCGAGTGGCAGGTAAGTTCAGGGAAGATGCAAATGCTGCTGACAGTCAAGGCAGAAACACATCCTAAGAAGAGGGCAAAAGCTACGCACACCAACAGTGGTGGTTTCAGGAATTCCATGCTTAGAAAATACGGATCACCTCAGCGACCTGGCTCTCTGTAGAATTCCAGTGGCATTTCACTCTACACATATTCTAGGCAGAGTGATGGTGGAACCCCCAACCTCGTCCACCCAGACAGGTCCCTAAATTGGCAAAGGAGAAACTCCTCAAAACATGACAAAGAGAGCCAAACTGGAAGGGATATAAAAACGAAAGCATGAAGGAAGACCCCAGAACGGTGTCAATTTTATTTTACATGATTGTCTACTCCCAATTATCACCGATAATATAAATGACTTACTTTCAAAAAGAATTATTTGATAAGGTGTCTACTATGTTGCAATTATTTTCCTACTATCACTGGTGTCCTCTTTCTGACCTCAGGAAAAATGCTATTCTTAAAAAGCAAATATAAAAATAAGGTTTATTTCTTAACCTGTTTACAAAATAAAAAAAAGCCATTTCACATTTGCACACAAAACTGAGTTCATGGTTTTAAAAAGTAGAAACACTCAAAATGAAAAAGTGCAGTTTTGACCGATCTTTCAAAGCAATTAAAGATGAAGACTTTTAAAAATCCTTCTCTTCAATATTTAAAAACAAGTAATCTCTTTCTCCCTCTACAAAGTCTCAAACTTCTGACCTTTGAAAGCGCACACTGACAACTGTGCCTGCTACCCCAAAGTCCTGTGTCTGCAAGGAATAGGAAAGAAGGTCCTATTAACTAGAAGCAGAAAGCATGTGCTGGCTCTAAACTAATCCCAGATCACACGGGAACCAGGTTTTACATTAAGACTTCCCCTCACATCACACCACTCAAAGGCGCATGTTCCCCCCACTCAGCCATGAAAAAGCAGAGGCGCATCGTCTTACCTCAAACTGCGGGTAAGGGGGAGTCATGGCTGCAGGGGGCCCTGAGGTGGGCGGCGACATCCCTGAAGTGGGCGGGAACAGACCCAAGGCATTCAGGTTTAGTCCGGGAATTAAATGTGCTTGAAGCTGCGATGGTAAAATAGAAAGAGCCATGTAAGCGAGCATTTCTAAGTGACAATATTCAGATTGTGACCTCGTCTAGTGAAAATCATCTGACACAAAATTTTAGGACAAAGCAGGTGTTTCCTGTGACCACACTTGAGCAGACAGTTTATATCTGTTTATATTTCTTGGCATTTAAAATCCATGTGCTTGTTTGCCTCGATCTGAAGCCACGGGGCTTCTCAGGGCAGGGAGTGCAGCCTTCCTGTCCTCCAGGGCAGCTCAGAGCTCAGAGACGCACTCTATGCCGCAGCACACGGCAGCACAGACAGAAAACTGTGCACCCGTTCAAGAAGTAAGCGAACAGGAGTTTTCCACTGAAAAGGAAACGAGCTATTAAGAGATCTTTACTTCTGGATAAAATTTGGAGTCATGGGTCTAAAGGCCTAAAACAAAGTCAAGGCCTTTGGAAATCAGGTCCTCTCTGCATATAGCTCCTACATCTGAACTTATCCTTGAGAAAGGGAGTTGTTTCCGTCTAATTTTGTAAGGGCTGAGACAGCGAGGTGGAGGTCAGAGAACTGAGGCCTGCGTGTACTTGAGAACCTTTTGAAGGCCAGCGGATGGACTTACTCCCAGTTCACTGGGGCATTCGGACGAGCGGTGACAATGTGAAGGTAGGAAGGCAGCCAAGTGCACTAAAGGGATTAGCATTCTAAACGCTCCTCACAAAGGTGACAACATCTTACATTTCCCTCTGTTCGGTGTAATGTTTCAGAGGACAGGCCCAATTGAGGACAACTGTTTTTCTTCACTCATTTACTTGAAAATTCAAGATGAACTTTACCAATGTTTCATAGTGAGCACCATTCCATCCATTAAGGAACATCAACAATTCACTATGTTCTGGTCGCTACACAGATTATTTTTTATCTCCAAGGAACCAAGTTTTAAATTTATATTCGTATTCCTAACAGTAGTTTTACATGCAGTTATCTACTGTAATTCTAACAGGCATGATATGCAGGCAATGCCCCCATTTTACAGATGAGGAAACGGATGCTCAGAAAGACAAATAAATTGGTACAAGAAAACAGAGCTGCAGTTAATAAACAGGTGAACTGGGATTCAAACACCATTCACATGCTTCTACTGTATTAATTTCCTTCAAATTAACACTGTGCAAGAGATATTAACCTTTTTAAGGTAAGTATTAGTCTCACCTCACAGATTAGGGAGCTAAGTCTCAAAGACTAAACACTCTGCTAAAAGCACAGAGATAGCCAAGCCAGCTGTCAAAGCCTATGTTTCCAGGGCATTCCCCCACAGTGAGAACTTAATCTAATGACACCACCATTAAAGAAACAAATATCAGGGCAACTGAAAACATCTTTTTAACTTCATCAAAACAAACGTAGGGATATATATCCAAATGGGAGGAGGATCCAAGATGGCTGCTCAGGTAGACACCTAACCGCAGCAGCACACAACAATTTCAATGGAATACAACTAAAATGTAGAGTGGACATCGCCCAGAGCTACAGGTAGTCGACTGACTGAAAATTCTACAACAAGAAGGAAAGAGAAAACCAGAAGGAAAATCAGAGGAGCTGAAAAAAAGCCTAAGGTACAGAGACATGCTGTGCGCTCGCACGCATGCGTGCGTGTGCGGGGAGGTCACAGCCGGAGAGGAGGAGAGGGCTGGGTGCTGCCTGGTGTTCCCTAGCAGGAAGGAAATAAAACCCCCAGCCTGGGCTGAACCCCCGAACCGGCAGCGCTGAGCCCCAGATATGAGCCAGACCCTGGGGACCCAGGCTCCGGCGGGGGAGACGGGGCTGTGAGGCGGAATCCCAAGCGAGCAGCGAAAAGCAGGGCCCCCGGAGTCGCGCGCACATTGTGTGCAGAGGACTGAATGTTGACTCTGATGCTGGATTACCCTAGCGTGAAGAATCAAAACCTCCGGTGGCGCTGAGCCTCAGTCCGGACTGCTCTGAACCCCAGTCCTGGACCAGACCCTGGGGACCCAGGCTCGGGCAGGGGGAGACGGGGCTGTGAGGCGGAATCCCAGGGGAGTGGCAAAAAGCGGAGCCCCGAGTCACGCGCACTGCGCGCAGAGGAGTCTGTTGACTCTGATCCTGGACTCCCCTAGGGAGAAGGAGAAAAAAAAAAAAAAGCTCCAGACTGGAGGAATGCGACGGCGAGCAGGAGCCCCTGCCAGACACCGGCCAGCCGGCAGGGAGCCCGGCAACGGGGCCCCCAGGGGGGGGTGCCCCTGAGCCATCGACCTCTGAGCGCGGGCAACGGAGCCAAGGCCGGGGGCTGCTTCCTGGGCAGCGCCGACCCCGGCAACAGGCTGGAGCAGCGTGGGAGCCCGCGGAGAACAAAGTGGTGCCACAGGCCAATCTGCTGAGCTCCCAGGACAAGGAGGAAGAAACCAAAGTTCTCAATGTGAAGAAATCAAGTGAGAGCAAAAGATAGTAAAATTACTTGAGAAAGAATACAGAGAAGATCTTGAAAATTCAAAGACTAAGTCAGAACTCAACTCACCAGCCAACATTGCAACATAAATGTGTTTAAAAAAAAAAAAAAAAGGACAGAATGTTGGAACAGCGGCGGCCAGGCCTAGAGTGCCCAGGCACAAAGCAATGGCAACCGGGCCCGGAGCAGCAACGGCCAGGCCCCAGAGCAGCAGCAGCCAGAACCAGAGCAACAACAGCCAGCACTGGAGCAGCCAGACCTGGGGCAGTGGCAGCCAGGCCTGAGGCGGAGGCAGCTAAGCCCAGGGAGGCCAGTCCAGGAACACCCAGACCCAGAGTGGCCGGGCCCGGAGAAGCCGGGCCCAGAGCAGCCGGGTTGGGAGCAGCCAGGTCCAGAACAGCAGTAGCCAAGCCCGGAGCATCCAGGCTGGGAGCGGCCAGACTCGGAGCGGCCGGGCCCGGGGCAGCCGGGTCTGGTGTGGCCAGGCCCAGAGCAGCGGCTGCCAGGCTGGGAGCGGCCAGGCCCGGAGCAGCCAGGTCTGGTGTGGCCAGGCCCGGAGCATCGGCTGCCGGGCTGGGAGCGGCCAGGCCCGGAGCAGCCGGGTCTGGTGCAGCCAGGCCTAGAGCAGCAGCTGCCAGGCTGGGAGTGGCCAGGCCCAGAGCAGCCGGGTCTGGTGCGGCCAGGCCTGGAGCAGCAGCAGCCAGGTCCAGAGCAACTAGGTCGGGAGCAGCGGTGACCAGACCCGGAGCAGCTGGTTGTGGAACGAACCAGAGCAACAGAGGCCAGGCCCGGAGCAGCCAGGCCTGGAACAGCTCGCTCCTCGCCTGCCCCTGCCCCACGGCTGCATCTCAGACATGGCTGGAAACTTTTGTGGGAACTTGAGGGTCTGCTGAATCAAGTGATGAAGGCTTAGATCTGGATGTGTTGAGTTAGTATAGCGCTGGGGTGTTGATCTTTGAGTGCCTTGGGTGCGGCCTGGATGAGGCTGGTTGACCTATTTGGAAATGTCTTTTGTGTGAAATGTATCATTGGGCATGTGGTGGTATTATTGATATGAGAAAATGCTAAGTAACTGATTTACTATCTGAAAAGGGATTTACTATCGGGGAAAGGGAGGGAGGAAGAGACTGAACATAAACTGCACCTATGGATGAGGACAATGGGGGATGGGGAGGGGGCGGAGGGTGGGGTGGGAACCTGGTGGAGGGGGGGGAAAAATGAGGAACCTTTGTAACAATATGAACAATAAAGATTGATTTAAAAAATAAATAAATAAATAAATAAATATCCAAATGAAAACAACAACAACAACAAAACAAACGTACGCCCTCGGTATTAACACTAACATTCATAGAAGCAATATCGTTTTCGTAAGACTCCCTGATTTTCTTCATTATCTCCTCCTCGGCTTTGGCACAGGTTTCCACGCTGCCTTTCACTGTGATGGTGCGCTCCGGATTGTACAGCGTCAGTTCCTGCAATCTGCAGATGGAAAACGGAGGGAGAGAGAGATTATGGAAATTATGGGAGGAAGAGAGTAGTAACAGTTCAGCCACAGATGGCAAGTAAAACCCAAATGAGGGGACTGGCAAGTTGTAAAAGTGGGTGGTTAGACATGCTGAAAACGAAGTGAGCCCCCAAAGACACAAATCCGAGAACTGTCAAGCCAGAGGAGAGAAAACACTTCCCCGCCCAGCTTCTCGATAAAAACCACTGGGCACACGTGGTTCGATTACATTTGTGGTTTAAACACAGTGTGCTTCTTGGCTACTTAAGGTTGAACCACTTTCACAATTTAACAGTGAAATACAAAGAACAGGATTGAAAGGACATAGTTTTAGCAGAAACCGAGAACCAGATGTACATAACCTTCAATGAGTGTGCTCCCAGTCTGCACTGACCAGCTCTAAGCACAACTGGCATTCTCCAGCAACTGCCTTTTCTGGGTCACCAGGCAAGGAATAAGCATGGAAATGTCTCCAAGGCAAACCAGAGTTCACATGTACACACTCCTCTTTGCCAGGAAGCTTAGCACTTAGATAAAGTACGCTGGAGGAAATCATGGAAATCAATCCATCTTTTTGTTTTTTAATTTTGTTTTATTCTTCAACCCATTTTGACTACATAACATTTTTAAAAAGGGTCCCTGGATGACCATTTAGAAAAGTGAAAAATGAGAATGCTGCAGCAATATTCAGAAACTCCCTTCTCAAGCGTCCCAGCCCTCCGCCGACGTGTGAGGCAGACGCCTGCCCAGCCCCGAGGAAAGTAAGTGCACAGAGCAGAGGACATGGACAGCTGGTCCAGCTCTCCGGCAGATCCCCAGTTACAATTCTCATCTTCATGGCCAGCAGAACGCCGTATTCCAAACTGAGGCACCTGAACGGGGTATGATTCCTTTGTTCCTCCAACTTGCTAAAAATGTAAGCATCGTACCGTTTGTCTTAGACTATTTAAAGAAGAAGTGCATTTCTAATCTCCATTTTCAACCCACCTTGCCCCTGCCAAGCTTTTATATTTCAATTTTCGAAATAGCTGCTTCCAGAATAGCTTGTAAGATTTTTCCCCCACTTAAAACCCTCCCTTTTCTGAGCATAAACATCAAGCCAGGGTAAGATCATGCATTTTATTTACCATTTAGTGTCTCTTTTTGTTTCTTTACAAACAGGACCCTCCTCCTTCCCCACTACCTCCTCCTTTGAGAACTCCTTGCTACACAAACCTGGTGCTCAGCTCTCCTTAGTCCCTCCGCCTCTCCCAGCTTATCTTTTTTTCTGGTATTCTCATGGAAACCAGGGACAGGCACGCTCAGAAAAAAAAACCTTTCCAAGTCATTGCAGAGCTTTGTGGACCCCAGCTGTGGTAGCCAGCCTCAGGGTGACCCCTCCCCACAGGGAACAGTAAGAGAGGCTGTGTTACAAAGACACCGCTGCCGTCCTGCTCCCAGATCATCCACCCTGGCAGGCGCCAGCCTGGCAGGAGACAGCTGCTGTGTCTCGTGTCCTGGGGACCCCGAGCAGCCCTGCGGAGCGGCCCTGTGGCGAGGAGCTGAGGCCTCACACTCCCAGGCAGCACTGACTTGTCAGCAACATGAGAGCTGAGTAAAGCCACCAGCTGAGCTGCTCCCGAACCCCTGACCCACAGACTAGGGGACTCAAGCCTTTCCCACTGTCATAAGCGCTCGGACGCTGGGCTATTGTCTCACACATCAACAGAGAATAACCTGGGCTCTCTATTCCTTGGGGAATACAGGTCAGCAAACCTGACCAAAAATCAACTGGGAAATATGGATATAAAGCTTTCGTGCCTCCGGCCTCTTTGGTGGGAGCAGAGTCTTTCGAGATGGGTTAGAGACAGACAGCAGACAGTGGCTGAGTTTGAGAAATGAAGTCTGAGCAGGGCGGTGCTGGCTAGCTCGGTCAATGGGACAGGCTATGCTTAACATGAAACCTCCAGTGAGACACAGGCTTGAAAATGTTCTTATTCAAAAGCAAGCAAGGCAGCACTTACGGAGATATCGTGATTTTAGTGTCTGTGTCTTGCTCAATTTTTTTAAGATTTCTTCCCTCCTTACCAATAAGACGGCCTACAAAGTTATTATGGGCTAAAATCTTCAAGGGGAGCTCTTCTGTGCTGTAAATGAATATAAAAAGAAAGGCCATGAAATACAGGCAAGTAACCCGACTCCCGGGTGCAAAGAGAATATTTGTTCATCAAACACTTATTTCCCACCTCCCACCCAGGAAGCATGATGCCAGGAGTTTAAACTGGCTGACCATCAGCTGCATTCTAGCAATGCGTGAACAGAGGGGGTAAAGTCAGTAATATGTACCTGGATAGAACTTTTAAAAATGGTTTCCTTTTATTCATCTCAGGAAGTACCTTCCAATAATGGATTCTGTTTAGCTTTGAAAACAGCTCCTACTCAAATTCCTGTTCCTAAACCCCCACCTCTGGACACAATGTACACATGCCAACAGTATGAGTTTAGTATAAATCTTAAGCTCCATGCCTGGCAACGCAGGCACAATTTAGCCAAGGAAACAAGGAACTCAGCAGTGATTACCCTCTGGGGAAGAGTGTGAGAGCGGGGGATGGAGTCACATTTCATTTGCACCTTTCTGAATTTCCCAAACACCTATCACTGTTTACAGATGTCATTGGGCCTGGCTGATGTGACTCAGTGGTTGAGCACTGACCTTTGAACCAGGAGGCACATGCCCAGGGTTTGAGCTCAATCCTCAGTAGGGGGTATGCAAGAGGCAGCTGATTAATAATTCTCACTGATGTTTCTACCTCTCTCTCCCTCTCACTTTCTCTTTCTGAAATCAATAATATATTAAAATTACTTTGAAATAAAAAAATTAAAACATGGCCCTAGCCAATTTGGCTCAGTGGATAGAGCGCCAGCCTGCAGACTGAAGGGTCCCAGGTTTGATTTCAGCCAAGGGCACATACCCAGGTTGAGGGATCGATCCCCAGAGTAGGGTGTGCAGGAGGCAGCAGATCAATGATTCTTTCATCATTGATGTTTCGCTCTCTCCCTTCCTCTCTGAAATCAATAAAAATATATTTTAAATTAATAATAACATCACTAAGGTTATCTTTATTGTTCTCTATACAAAAAAATTAGAATCTTATAACACCATATAACTAGCCTTATAACTAAAATATACTTAATGTATTTAAAGGTCCCTACAAATTAAATGCTGTGCTTTAGGTCCCAGGCTAACTCCAGCGCCTTACTCTGGATTCTACTCTACGCCCAGCACTGCTCTGAAGACTGAATGTAGCACAAAACCCGACCTGCATTCCAAGTTCCTGTAGGAAAGACAGTTAGGAGTTCCAACCTGGAACATCCAAATACTCCCCCGTTCATCTCAGCACAGGGTTAGGGTTCCCCCCATCAGGGGGCTCAAAGCCCCGGCGTGAGGACTTGGGCCCTGCGGTGGGTAAATCCAGAGATACTCCTGGACCCCATGAGCTTATGCCCCCCAGCCACCTTCTATAGCTGGACGGCCCTCACTGCTGCCACTCACCCACAGCCAGACACAAAGGAGAACATGTTAAGGACTTGGCTTTACACCACATCAACACGCCCACCCCCGGGCCTCCTAGGCAGCAGCTCCGGGGTTTGCTGGCAATCCCCAAGAACCGGTCAATTCACAGCAAAACTGCACGGATATCAACCTCTCCCCGGGTTCATCCTCGTTACTCACAATTTTATGTCTTGGGCCTCCTTATGCATAATCTCCAGAATAGACTTACAAGCCGCAGAGGTGCCTTCTGGGGTGGAGAGGATAGTGATGGACTTCTCTGCAGCGCCTGCGTTCTCTTTACGATGGACATCGATCCTGAGGGTGGGGGACAGGAGAGGAAAGCGAGGCTGTCAGGCACGCGTTCACAGAGCTTTACCATGGCCAACGCCCAAGTAGGGCTGCTGGGCCAGAGATGACTCACTTCCCTCAAGAGCATAAGCTCCCGATCACTGTCAGCAGATGCCTCAGGGGTGAATTTTAATTCCAGGAACACTCCCTTCTCTCTCCTCACTCTGACCAAGCAGGACCTAGATTCATGACCTGGTTTCATTTTGCCCGAGCTGCCTCTGCCTCAGGCTCCCTTTTCCATGGCACAGAACGAGCATCTCCCGTCGGAGAGCCGGTCCACACAAAGCTTTCTTCTCTCTCCGAACCACACAGGACCTGGGTGTATGCCCAGAGGCGGGAGCTGGAGTCCTCAAACCAGGTGGAACTCTCACTTCATCGGATGAGCACGTTTCACTCACCCGTTTCCTTTTGCAAAGCTCACCCTGTATTTTGCCTCCTTCATACAGGAAAGTCCACAACAAAATCCCAAGAGATGGCAATTCAACTTCAAAGAAAAGCAAATGGCCAATTAATGCAATGTGTCAAGCCTCACTAGTAATTATATACACACCAGTTAAAATAAGGCCTTTTCTTCCAGACCTGCAATTATTTTGAGAGATAAAATGAAGCATTGGCAAGAGGACAGGGACTCTGGGCACACGCACACTTGTGGTGGGAATGCAGAACACCCGGCAGGATCTATCGAAGCTAAAAAGCTTCTCAACTTTGACTCAAGAATTCTGCTTCCTGTAACACCTCCGGAGGCTGTCCCACAGGGGTGTGGGGAGTGTATTCGCCGTCGGCACTGTGTGGGAAAGGGAAACTGCTGTGGAAGCCACCCTGCAGTGCTCAGCCTGTCCCTGCTCAGCCCACCAGAGGCCTCAGCTCATCCCTCAGCCAGCTGTGCTGACCAACACTGTCCGCAGCCCCTGCCAATGTTCCCGGGCTGAGCGCGTCACCCTGGGTGCAAACTACCAGCACAGGAGCGTTCACTGCAGCAGATTTGTGGCAGAAAGAGCACTGGGATCATCTTTAAAAGCTCACCAGGAGAGATGATTAAGTAAGAGTATATCTGACCTAGGGGGGTGGGCAGGGGCTGAGAGGAGGAGGATGGAGGGGGGAAGATAGGAGATATCTACAATGCTATCAACAATAAAAAATATAACTAAAAAAGAAAAATTTCAGCATCAGGTAAATTAAACATATAAAACAAGTAAATAATAAATGTATATCCGTATCAGAGATGTTTAAAAATATGGGTATAATTACAAATACCAACATTATGAGAGTCCTTGACCTTCTGTGAAGAAATACAATTCATACCCTAAGATTTCCCCTTTAAAGCTTCCCTTGTTAGTAGATACAAGGAACAAATCCTACAAAGATACAACCCCAACTTAACAATGGCTACCACAGGGGGTGGCATGAAGAGTCACCCTTTTTTGTTTTTTTCTCATTTGCATATGTGTTCATTTTGAATTAAATACAAAATTAAGTCTGCTGTTGTTGAAAAGGTACAAGAAAGAACATTAACCATCCAAAAAATGGAGTTCAGCGAAAATGAGACATTGGCGAGTCCTTCTGGCCACTTGGATGCTAGAAGACAAAGCTGTGCAATTCCCCGCCATGAGAATGGCCACCTCACCTCGCCAATAAAACCGAGGTTTGGATTTCATTCTCCTAAATGTTGGTTGAAAACTGAAGACATATTTCAGAAGCAAAACCTATCGCTAAAAATAAGGGCAATGCAGACATGAAACAAGTAAGCTAACTACAAGTAACTGATTAAAACCATGCAGAGACAGCAGCCTCGATCTCAGGCACCGTTTTCCCAGCCACTGTTTCAGAAATGCCGTCACCTCCAGCCCTCCCCTTCGAGGAGGGGGCAATTCCAGGCTCGGGGTCACTACACTGATCCTCGGAGACAAGGGTAGCCCTCTGAGCCGTTCCAGAAGCAGAGGACCTCGTAACGACTAGTTTCTATGGCAAGAATTAACCGAGTCCACTGGATGTTACACAAACTGCTTCCCTCCCCTCTCATCACCATCTTCCCGCCTTAAATAAAACAACTCAGTTTAAAGCAGCTTTCCTCTGACAAGGAAACAGCGTTTGCCATTAACAAGGCAGGCAAACCTTTTCATAATGAGTTTTTGCAGGTAATGCTGACTCAAGGGAAGCAAGAAGCCCTTCCATTTTAAGATTAAAACCAGGCAAACTGCACATTAAAACTGATGTAGGCCCTGGCCGGTCTGGCACAGTGGACAGAGTGTCAACACATGGACTGAAGGGTACTGGGTTCAATTCTCCTCAAGGCTTGAACCTCGGTTGCAGGCTTGATCCCCAACCCTGGTTGGGGCAAGTGTGGGAAGCAACCAATCGATGTGTCTCTCTCACATCAATGTTTCTCTCTCTCTCTCTTTTTAAAGAAACTCAATATAAAGGTATCCTCAGGATAGGATTTAAAAACGAACAAAATACTGATCCAGATTATGGTTCTACCGTCTTCCCATATCATACATGATGAGGTCAAGGCCACTGATGCTGCACAAAGGTACCCAACACCATACACTCCTGCTTCAAAGCAGGGGCAGCAGGATCAGCCATCACTCTGCAGGTGGAGTGGGCCCACCACCACCACCACCTCCAAACTCAGTTCCCTGTGGTCCTGCAGGAGCAGTCGGCAGCTAGCTCCATGCAGGCCCGGTGCCTGCAATGAATATGGATGTCCTCGGAAGCCTGCTGGAGCCAGCTGCAGTTGCAGCACCACAGTTGCACTTCGAGAAAAAGGCTCTCCTTTATTCCTTGGACCACATGAAATGGAATCAATGTCCTTACTAAATTTAAAAAACAAAACAGTCCACAGCCATCTCATACCGGGCCCAAGGCCATTCCTCTGGAGCTTGGCACAGAGCGACTGACCCCAGCGAGGTCTGTGTGCAGCCGCCTCTCCCTCACACACTTGGCTCTTGGGGAGACAGGGCAGCAGCAGCCAAGGGTGTGCCCAGAAGCAATGCCCAGAGCCAGAGTGGGGACAGGTTTCTTAGGGCCGAAACAGCCACATACAGTATCACAGGTTGGTTAATAAAGCAAAGCAACTGAACACAATGCAGTGGAGTCACATTTCACTCATCTGCCAAATCCGAAAACCTTTCACCTATCAGGCAACCCGCTCAGCACGGTGGTAAATCACCACACAAAGCTCTGCTAGCTGCTCCTGAAAAGTTAGCTCCAGGGTTTGGCCAAGAATCCCAAGTTCACTCAAATCTGCAAGTGGAAACTCCCAACCAAGAAGCTAAGAATGAGCCATCCCAGCCGGCCACAGGGCATACTCCTGGGATGAATCTGGACCACAAGCTGAATGATTCTTTACTCAAGTAAAACAAGACTGAAAAACCACCTCTATCCTGGACCCAGAAAATTACTTCCAAAAACAAAAAGGCAGGCATCGCCGGGGGTTGGGGAGCAGAGAATAACATAGAAGCTGCCCTTCTGTTTGCCAGGGTTCTCACATCACAAGTGGATTAGGGATCATTTGCTTTCCATTAACATGTGAAAATTTGAGGTTCCCTTTGAGACTGAAATTTAGTCCCGTATTTGTATAAAATATACACTAAGATATCAAAGTCGCAAGGTTTTGCCAGAGTCCCAAGCCCTGGAAGGACCATGACCAAGACCAAGCACCACACGCTCTGTTCCTGAGATTCGGGGAAACGTTACTGCCCACTACCCACTCTAATACTCACTTAGACTGGGTCTGTTTGGTGATGTTCCGAATGGTGGCACCTTCTTTGCCTATGATGGCTCCAACGAACTGGGTGGGCACCAGCAGGCGCAGAGGCAGGTCACAGGGCTTCTGCTTGGACACCGATCCCGGAGAGCCCTGCCTCGACGAGCCCCTCTGCCCGAACCCGCGGCGGCCTCGGGGCTGCGGGGCAGCGTTCTGCTGGGAGGCCATCTCGTCCGGGATGTAGGCCACTTTCAACGTGAAGTTCTCCAGCTGGAAGCCATTCAGCTTGTCTAACGCTCTGAAAGGTGACAAGGAGCAAGGGTGGGAAAAGAAATCAAACTTTGTAATAAACCTTTCAGCAAAGCAATACCTATCTCCCCCCCTCAGGATCATCAGCTCAAAATCTTCTGAATAAAGCCAGAGAACAGGTAACCCAGAACAACTGAACCCACACACACACACACACACACACACACACACACACACACGAAAGAAAAACCTGATAAGTTTCCAAAGGGAACATCCTTGTCCTCTACCAATGAAATATAGAAAAAATCTGTCAAACATTTTTACTGAGGTGTAATTCACATACAACATTACATGAGTGTCAGGTGCACCACACAAGGACTCAACAGTCCCATATAATGTGAAATGATCGCAATAAGTCTGGCTAACACTATCATCACACCTAACCACAGAATTTTTTTTCTTGTGATGAGAATTTTAAGATCTCTCTCAGGAACTTTCAAATATGCAATACAGTTGTATTAACTCCCGTTAACAGGCTGAGCGTCACATCCTCAGGTTTACTTGTTTTATAACTGGAAGTGGGTACCTTTCGACTCCCTTCACCCAATTTGGCCACTCATCTCCGATATCCACCAATCTGCTCTTTGAATCTGTGAACTTGTTTTGTGTGTGATTGGCTTTTTTTAGTCTATACATGTGAGATCATAGTGTGTTTACCTTTGTCTGACCTCTTCCTGACTTACTTCACTTACATAACATCCTCAAGGCCCATCCATGTTACTGCATATGCCAGGATTTCATTCCTTCACATGGCTGAATGCTATGCCAGCGTGCATATAAACACACCAGGCTTTCTTGTCACTCCTCCATTGACAGACACTGAATTGTTCTCATACCTCAGCTACTATAGAAAATGCTGCAACCGGAACTCTTCAGTAAGCCATTATTAACCCAAGAGATAACAACGGAGGAGCACGCCAAAAGCCAGGGGAGGGAGTGGGCAGACCTGGTCCAGGCTAGTCTTTCCAAATCAGAAGGGAGATGTTGGAAATATACATCTTCTTACAAAATACAAACATTAAACATCTTAAGCCACAGAGGACAGATCTCTCTCAAACTCTCACAGGAGATGGGTAGGATTTGATACTCAAGACAATCACCCAACACATCCTCAGCACCTACCATGTGCCAGCCCCTGAGCAAACAGTAGTCCCTGGCCGTCTGGAGTTTATGGTCTGGCCTGGGCAGAGAGGCAGGGTGATGATAGGCCAAAAGAAGCCAACGAAGTTATTTTCTACCTCATCTATCCGCCCATCTGTCCACCTCTCTATTTTGAGAGGAGCCTTACTGTTTTTTTCATTTTGAATATTACTATGGAAAAGCGTCCATCCCAATGAGTTTTCAGAAGGTAAGCCTGCAACCCAACTCCAGAGCGAGGACATACCAGCGCATAGCCACCAGTACCTCCCTAGACTTCGAAGACCATAGACCGATTCTGTGTTAAAAATCTGGGTAAATAAGCATATATTAGAATGGGAAGCGTTCTGCTGGGAGGCCAGTTATGTACTCTCTCATGTCTGGCCTCTTTTATTTACCAGGTTTATAAGATTCACTCATGCTGTTGTTTTTTTTTATCTCACCTAAGTATTTTTAAAATGGAGAATGCAATAAAAAACTGACAGAGAAGGTATCACCAAGATACCAAAAGCACACATAAACACACTTTTGATAATACACACTCCCAAGTACACTACAAAGTTAGAAACAAACAAAGGTCCACACTCTGCTAAGGCTGCTCGGACTCTGTCCGATGGGCTTTGAGTTCTCACACACACACCTTCGTAGTGGAAAGAGGCTCAACTAGCGATGAGAATTCTAGTCCAGCTGGAACAATCAGCAGCCATGTGACCTTGGGAAGGTCATGTTCTTATTTGGCACTAGGTTCCTCACCTACAAAATGCAGCGATTCGATTTATGATCCCTTTCAATTAAAAAATTCCAGAATTTGTTTTCTTCTTCCCAGACCTCACTGCTGTATAAAGCACTAATTCTAACAAAATGAGGTTTAACCATTATTGAAAAGTCACACAATTCAGTTTTCTGCTTGTACCAAGAATAAAAGGTTGAGGCACACAATCTATAATAATAAAGTATACTATGCTAATTAGACCAGCTGATGTCCTAGGCGAAGCCAGGGCTGTGATGGAGCCCAGGTCCCGGGTGCTGGAGGGAAAGAGGTGCATCGGCCTCTAGTTCAGTAATAACTACTGAAAGGATGCAACTTAAGGAAATAATTATTGCCAAAGCCGGGAGATTTACCCTCCAAAGGGCTTGATCAATTACATTGGTTCTAAAAGCCCACACACACACACTCAAAAAGCAAAATCTTTGTAAACAACCTGTGCTGTAGAGGACTGGATACATCGACTGTGGAAGGCGTGAAATACTATGTAGAGATTACAAACAGTATAAATATAGTCAATGGAAATAATAAAAGTTATGACACGTGGGACAAAGTCTGCAAAGCTTGGTGGTTATCTCTGAAAGACAAGAAATTCCTTTGTCTCACTGCTTTCTGTTGTTTCTTTTTCCAGAATAAATCTTCTAGTTACATGATTTTTACAGCTGAAGGTTGATTTCCCCCCCTTAGCCATCAGCCAAGTTGTTGAAAACACTTCTAACCATCACAGTGTGCACCAGATGTGGGTCTTCAAACTGATACAGAAGGATCGATCTTCAATGATAGCTTCACAATATAAACAAACTATACTCTGATTCCCTAACGAAAATAAACATCAGAAATAAGAGCCCCTAAGGGAAGGTGGGGATAAGAGGGAGAGATCAACCGAAGAACTTGTGTGCGTCCATATGAGCCTCACCAGTGGTCAAGGACAACAGGGGGTGGGGGACATGCATGGGGAGGGGTTTGGGACGGGGGTGGGGGGGGGGCGGGGTTTGAGGACAAATATGTGATACCTTAATCAATAAATTTAAACAAAAAATAAAAGAAATAAGAGCCCGAAAGAAAAGAAAGTATAAAAGCTAAATGTCTGCTGATTCAGAAGGGCTATTGGTGAGGCTGGCTTCCTTGGACAGTTACCTGAGCACCCCTGGGAGGAAACGGTGTCCCGAGGCCAAGCCTTTCTTGCTCCATGGAACAAGTGATACTAAGGACACTCTCTGTTTTTATGATTTTTTGTTTTCATTATTTTTATTCATTTTATTATTTTAATAATCCAAGACTTCAAGTTAAAACAAATAGGTATTTCCTCATAATATATTACTCTGAACCTTTGATTTTTCTAACCACAAGGTGGCAGGAATTTCCATGTTAAATTCTTAGAGTCAGCCTTATTGAGGAATCAAGTAACAAAAAGAGGCAGCCACAAAGCCTTCAAACTCGGTTCCTAACTCTGAGTATCAGCGCCGGTCATTACCTGGAATGGAGTATAAATGAAGTATATTGAGCAAGAACAGAGTATCATCAGCAGAAATGAGAAATTTGAAAAATGCTTAATAGCTGCTAACTTTGGAGTTCTTGCGAGGAATTGTGATAGGTGTTTTGGAAGCTCTATGTAGGTTTCTCAACAGCCTCATGAGCTAAGAACTGTAATTAGTCCCACTTTACAGGCAGATGTGAACTAAGACACATTAACCTGTCCAGAATGACAGACTCCCACCTCTGCACCAGCACATCCCAGCTACACAGTCTCCCAAGTATCAGGCACAAGGAAAGAAAAGTCAACTCCACCTTCATGACCTGAAGCGATGAGCTTTGAAGGGCTCTTATTTCTGATGTTTTTTTGTCAGGGCAAGGGACTCAGCCGGCCGCGTGGTTGGAGCAGCAGACAGCTGTGCAGCCCAGAGGACCACTGTGCAGAGCTCTGAAAGCACATCCTAAAGGGACCACCTTCCCAGCTCAGACCACCTCAGCTGCTCTAAAAGCAGCCCAGAACCAGGGATTGGGCAAGAATGACTACTATTTCCTTGGTGCCCATGTGCCAGGCCATTTGATAAGCCTGTCTTTCTGTAAATACGTGCCTAAATGAATGACTAGATTGGTTTCTTGTCAGCTCTCATTTTGTGGCTGAGAACACTAAAGCTCAGAGAGTCAGGGTTATGTCAGAGGCCACGCTTTCTCCACGATGCCAAGGAGTGCCAGATCCAATGCCTGGCAAATAAACCCATTCTCCTCACAGCATGAGAATGCACCCCCATCTCCTTAAAAAACGAAACAAAAAAAAACCAAAAAACACAACAACTTACTAGAAAATGTTCAGAACACTGACTCACAAGAACTTTTCCATTCTTTAAATCTATTAACTTTCTCTGAGTTATTTTCTAAAACTCTTTGCTCTTTGGAATTTTTGAGAGAGAGAAAACCCATATTCTTGTAAGGAAACTCAACGTGGGCGATCCTTCTCCACTTCCACCAGCAGGAGGCCCACCCCGAGGACAGGGACTCTGCCTTTAGTCACTGGCATTTGGTCAATATGCAGTTGCGATTCATTGAAGGACTATTAGAATAAGAGATGTAAGGACATGTCCCTCTTTGAAATGCTCATTTATCTGTTTAGGGTGTTTAATTACTGAAATGACAGATTCCCAACAGCCATTTTCTCTCCCCTTCGGACCAACAGGACCCAGCAACCTCTGACAACATTTGTAAAAACCGTCTCCCTGTTCCGTCTGCCTGATGGGTGGGCTGCTCACAGCAGTGATTCTACCCTGGCTCCCTGTCAGCCCGTCCTGTGCTTGACTCTGTGCTTAGAATGCAGGGCCTCTAAATTTCCCGACTCAAGTTCAAAACCAACAGCGTTCTCCCATACGGCTAACTGTTAAGTATCGTCCAGTTAGCTGGCTGTCCTCACCTAAGTTTTCAGGCAGGACAACTAGGACGATCTCCAAATACCCTTGGGTTTAGCATGTTACCCCAGCTTCCATCGAGCAGAGTTGGCTGAAGCAAGCGCTTACTGGAGATCTTCGTGAAGACTGGGGCATGTGAGACAAACAGAGTCTGCATCTCTGCCTCACTCTCACCTCCGCCCGGTCTACTTGGGGTACCAAGAATAGAGTTTGTAAAAATCACTTTTACCACTCACACCACAATTTCTAAGATGTCAAAAAACCTCATGTTAACTGTTCATTTTTTTTTAGTGAGAGAAAGATATGAACAGAAGGAAAAACAGATTTTTTTTAAATGTCTTAAAAGTCTCATTAAAAATAAACATCAGAAGCCTCATTTTTTAGGAAAAAAAGTGGCATGAACATGAGTAGATAATGCTTTCCCCACAGGGTCAGCAAAGCCTGGTAAAGCTGGGTTAGGCGTCAGAAGATCGCACACTCACATGGGGCCGATGGGAATTTAAACTAGTTCAGATTCTACGGAAGAGAACTTGCCAATATTTTTTTTTTAATTAATAAGTATCTTGATCTATTTCTAGGAATTTAACCCACACCCATATTCACACACGTGCAAAGTGATATACAAAAAAGTGATTCTCTGCAGCAGCCATTTTCACACGGGGTGCAGCCAGCTTATTAAACAGGCAGCACCTGACTTATTTCCTTGGCAGCTCTGACCTCTTTTCCCTTAGACTGTCGAATAAAAAAATGACGACAGCCATCCGGTGAGTCAAAACTTCACCTATTCTTTTGTCAGACCAGCAGCAAATATAATCTGGTTTTTTGGTGTGCAGCGGACATTTGGTAGTTTGTGTGCCATGAGCAGAAAAAAGTTGAAAATCGCTACACTCTAGCCTTGCTCATAACTGCAAGATACTCTAAATAAGCTAAACATTCAATTTGGAACTAAGTCATTCTATATTCATACAATGAAATTCTATGCAACTTTAAAAAATAGGTTTCTACGTACAAAACACTCAAGCAATTTTGGGTAACAATACTGGGGAGATCTGCACCATTTACATGCTTGTACCTTTACATTTTGAACCATGTGAGTGTTACCAACCAACATAAAAACGGAAGTCCCCCTGTGCAATGCAAGTTTCCATCTCCTCGCCAGCCCCATCTGTCCTTCCCTGGCTCGTCCAGGAGCGGGCACTGCGTTTGGCCAGCTAGTCCCATCCCCTTTCCCTCCGGACTCAGGCCAGATGGTGTGGTCTTCCCCCTTTCCCCTGCCTGCCCTGTGTATGGAGGTGGTGGAGACTTCCCTGGCCCCTGCCACTCCGCTCTCTGCTGTGGACACCTTGCATGCCATTCCTCTGCCTGCACTGGGAGCAGACAGGTCAAAGGCAGTATCTGTGGGATCCTCATTTCCTCTCTCTAATGTTTAGTCAGTTCATTAGATCATTCCCCAAGCTGAGAAGTGTTTTTTCCTAAGGAAGATGTTTTTATCTGTAGTTTAGGCTCCCCATTGCATCGGAATACATTTTTCCCCACCAATCTAAAATCAAAATACATTGGTTCAATGTCTGCACAGTCCTACATGACAACAGTAACCACTAGGAAAATTGGGAAGCAAGAAAACATTTAACACTATAGCTTAACACACGACCTACTTACCAGCTTTGAATAAAACAGCAATAATGTATGTGTCATATCAGTAAGGGGAAAACCTTAAGGTAATTTGATGATTCCCAGGTCCACAGCTTTTTGCAAATAGGGTGTAGTTCAGCTTCATCCCATATCCACCTACCATTGACATACTGAAAAGGTAATAAAACTAACCAATGCAAATTCTTATTATACCGTCAAAAACATTAAAAGATTTACAAAGTCAAACTTTGCAAAATAAAATTTACTTCTGCTATCCACTAGGCTAAAATATAGGTACCGTACTTAACCTGCTTACTACCCATAGAGATGAAAAGTGTCAATCTGCTTACTGTCTGGCTTGGTCCTTACTGGAATAGGTTACGTTTACGACTGCAGTTTCCGAGTCAGTGTTCACTGAGGGGAGAAAAAAAGGAAGAGAAAGAAACACGTTAGTCTTCTTTTTACGCCCCCCTTTCACAAAATTGAAAGCAATTGAGAAGACGTGTACCTTGCTCACAGCTCTCCACCACTCCATACTGGCCTAGTAAACTATCCAGCACCTAGCAGGAGGGGAGAAAATCACACATTTTCAGTTTCCCAAGGTATTACGAGAGCAGAAATGTTTGCAAATCACAAAGAACTGTGCTGAAAAAGAGCGCCCAAAATTAACTGGGGTCTGGACTCTCCTAGTGAGGGAAGGGCACCATTGCGGGGTCCCCTCTCCTGCATCTCCCAAGATCCCTGGCCGCAGGCTCATGCCTGAGGCAGCTCCGCAGTGCTCACGGCCCCAGCACCGGATTCCCAGGCCGGAGCGGCAGGAAGCATCAGTTTTCCACACACACAGCAACGCCTCATCACACTTCCTCCGTGTACACAGAGTCACGAGACAAGAGCCCACATCAAGTTTCATCTTTAAGATGTTCCTTCTCAAAGAACTTCTTTTTATAGCCAATATGGACTCATCGGAACAGACGACTCTCAAGGCAGGCCAGCAAAATGAAGAAAGAACAGAGCTGATATTCTCTGTGGAGCTAGAGACTAAGCTGAGTGGTATATCAATACTTAGTAAAAGGTGTAAAAAAAGAGAAGCGAACATTTCTAAATCTATGCGAGGCTGGAAGAAGCACAACTGGAAACTGTCTGCTACATCTTCCCTGCGGCTGCATCATTCCACTGCGCGTGCTGGTCTGATGCGAGGCCGGGAAAGAGCGCCTGCACCGCGTCAGACCGAGACTGTGGGTGCCCCTCTCATCAGTATGAGCCAAACCCAACTCTCCTTCCAAGAACCAGAAAAAGAGGTTTCTGAAAAATAAACTAAGATGAGATTCTATTAACTTCTAGGGAACCAATTATCCATTAACAACTTTGACGAACGGCTCCTGAGAATGTGTTCTGGCCCCAGCACACAGTAAAGCATCAAGAGATCCACTGAGTGCTCAGGTAATTAATTCCCTGCTAAACTTTAAGCAACTTCTCCTAAAGGAACATTTATCTTGTGTGGTCTCTTTCAGGCTTTTGTCTACTGATTCTGATTTTAAAACTATAGGCAGGTATGTCTAGGAATAAACTTTTTTTTTTTATTTTTCCCCATTTTATTATTATTTTTTTAAATATATCTTTCTTGATTTCAGAGAGGAAGGGAGAGAGAGAGAGAGAGAGAATCAATGATGAGAATCACCGAATGGCAGCCTCCTGCACATCCCCCTATGGGGATCAAGCCCGCAACCAAGGCTTGTGCCCTTAACCGGAATCAAACCCGGGACCCTTCAGTCCGCAGGCCGATGCTCTATCCACTCAGCCAAACCAGCCAGGGCTATGTTTCCCCATTTTAAATAAGGCTAATTAATACCTATTTGTGAATGAGGAGTCATTACATTTTTCATAGTGACATTTTGACGTGAATTTCCTTTGAGTGGGGGCTATTTTTAGCACACACTGATCTCTGTCTCTACAGCTGCTATTAAATCAGAACGCTTCATCTTTAATTCAGAGCCCACATATCTCTCATGGTCAGTCTCGGCCACCAGGATGCACGGTCACATGAACAGGGTTTCCGTTCACTACACTGTCCCTGGCAGGGGAATGCACAGACATGGGAAGACATCCCCGGGGCTCCTGAGTGAAGGAAGGGCTTCTCAGAGGAAGTTCTCGGCGGCTTACTAGGAACGGCACTCCCCAACTGTGTTCGCCTGCTGCAGAGGTGAATCTGACACGCATGTCATGCTGATCACAGACATCGTTTATAAAAGCGGGAAATGTAGAAAACTTCTTACAATGCCACCCAAAGAGGCATAATATGCAACATGTAACACCTTAAAATCTAAAAAAAAAAGCAACCTGTGTTTTTAAGACAAAAATCTTTCAATACCAAAAATGTTGTATATGGCCGAGACCGGTTTGGCTCAGTAGATAGAGCGTTGGCCTGCGGACTGAAAGGTTCAGGGTTCGATTCCGGGCAAGGGCATGTACCTTGGTTGCGGGCACATCCCCAGTGGGAGGTGTGCAAGAGGCAGCTGGTCGATGTTTCTCTCTCATCAACGTTTCTAACTCTCTATCCCTCTCAATTCCTTTTTGTGTAAAATCAATAAAATATATATTTTTTAAATGTTTTACATGCATATTAATAGAATTATAAAGAGGTATTTAAATTCATTCCATCTTAATAATTAAAGCAGTAGGAATGGTCCAGAAGGAAATTGGACAGCTGAAAGATGTCTAATTAGCATATTAATATAGATATATACACACATACAGGCAGATAAATAAATGATACAAGAAAACTTTTAACTTAAAAAATCGAGGAAATATACATAAAAATTTCACTGCATCTACTGTACAAAGTTTAATATGTTGAAAATAAAATTGCTTGTAGAGTTAAACATTCTATTTGTAGATAATAATAAATGTTACCAATTACCAGAACTATCCTGTGTGTAAAATCTCTGTGGGGCAGGGGATTAAAAACAACAATTCTATCTTCTAAAAATGGCGAATTTACTGTTGTAAATTATATTTCAATAAGCCTTGCACTAATAATAAATAAAAAACACACAACACACACACACACAAACACACACACACACACACACACACAAAAACCACACACTATAATTCTTAAAGGAAAAATAGGTCCATCATCAGTCTTTGTTGGGGACAAGTTAACCAGACAACCTAGGGGGGTGTTTATCCAGACACCCGAGAGGAATTTCAATGGGTCTTTGTAAGTTTGGGGGGTCATCACAACTGAGAGATGGGGAAAGACTGCCAATAACCCAATCAGAATCACAAATCCCCCAGGGCCTGAGCAATGCTAAGCAGCCCGTTTCCCTCTAACGGCTGGGAAGGCACTCATCTGAGAGCTCTGCAGATCAGGACCACCACACTGCACCCTGCCACTCCACCCACTGAGCTCCCGCGTAAATACAGCTCCTCCCCAGTCTGCCCTGTGGATGCAGCCTGCATTACGGGAAGGAAAGACACGTGTTCCTGTATCTGTTCCATAAACCGCCACCGCCATCCCTAGGTTCCTGCCTCCTCTCAGTTCCCAGAATGTCTTGTCTCTTCTCCCATCCATCTCAACCACAAATGTTTCTTTTAAACAGCCTTGTTTTAATGGTAAAAACAAACAAAACCCGAAATACTGCCACGGCACATTTCCAACATTTCCACAATCTCTTAACAAACCAGAACGCTCATTCCTAATTGAACTTGTTTTACTCAAGCCCACAGAAAACATTTCTCTGTGCTTATGTAAGTCTAACTCCAACTGGGAGGGAAGACGCTACCAAAGCAAATTACAGCCGCAGAGGGAATGAATGTCTTGGCGGAATCCCCCTTTTTATATATTTACAACTTGAAAATCTCAAATGTTCAGCACTTTAAAAAAATTAAAAGTTCATCCACATGTGGAAATAGCAAGAAAGAAGCACATGCTTAAACACAAACATTGTCACTTTCCTTCACATCGTTGTAAAGACTTAGGTCATTCCTAAAAGTGAGAGTGGAAGCAATCTAAGTGCCTCCACCTGAAGGGCAAGCACAATGTGGTACAGCCACACGACTGAGTATTTGGCCATAAACAGGGATGAAGTGCTGATACATGCCACAACATAGATGGACCTGAAAACAGTAAGTGAACGATGCCAATGCCAAAAGACCACACCTTAAGGTTCCATTCACAGGAAATGTCCAGAAGAGGGAGCGCTGCAGAAACAGAGGTAAACCGGTTAGTGGCTGCATCGGGCTGGAGCGAGGGAAGGGCGGCAGCTAAAGGTTTCTTGTGAGGTGATGAAAACGCTCTAAAGCTGACTGTGGTGATGCTTGCACATATCTGTGATCATACAAAAACCACAGAACTGTGCACTCTAAATGGGGGAATAGTGCAGTGTGTGAATTATAGCTCAATAAAACTTAAAAATAACTAAGATCAATAATACTAGCTTGCCCTAACCAGTTTGGCTCAGTGGATAGAGTGTCAGCTGGAGGACTGAAGGGTCCCAGGTTCAATTCCGGTCAAGGGCATGTACCTTGGTTGCGGGCACATACCCAGTAGGGAGTGTGTAGGAGGCAGCTGACAGATGATGTTTCTCTCTTGTTGATGTTTCTAACTCTCTATCCCTCCCCTTCCCTCTCTGTAAAAAAAAAAAACAACCACAATTAAATTATATATTTTAAAATACTTTAAAAAAATAATAATACTAGCTAATTACCTAGGTTTGTTTAACCCTTGAAGTATTATTAAAGTGAAATTTTATCAGTTTTGCCATTACGTATGTACTCATGAAACCACTGCCATAATCAAAGTAAGTTTCTTCATGCCCTCTTCAATCTAGTAGCCTAATTTATTCAAACACAAACACCAAAATAAAGATGGCTGAAAAACTATCTTTGTAACTCACACATGATCACATTTCCTCTGCCACAGTAACAAACCCCTCCATCCCCACCCCCCACCAAACCAGCTATTTCAGCTGGTCCCCTTGGGCAGGGAGGACTTCATGCTCTCCAGGAAAACCTGCTGCTGCTGACTTGTTCTTCACACCCACTGCTCAGGCCCCATCACCTTGAACCAAAGGCCTAACTGGCATCCTTGACTCCAGCCCACCACCCCATAACCATTCTCCTCCTGGAATTACTCCTCTCCAGGGGCCTCTGGATGCCCTCAGTGTTCTGGAACAGCCTGCCTCTTCCAACCCCTTTAACCCGCTTCCCCCACACCTACTCCTGCCACACCCTCAGAGTGGGGAGGGCGCTCTTGTTTCCATAGCACCTGAGCTTACCTAATCCTGCGAATGAAGGCAATGCCATTTTATAGCCTCTTCACTGGTCTTTCTCCTCCCACCGGATTAGTGATTACTAACCACAGTGACTGACTACATGGCAGGTGTGTTGCAAGTAATCCATCCCTAAGAGTTACACTGGCTTCTATGTATGTATTTCAGAAACTTTGTATGCAACCTGAATAATTTCACCTTCATCTTCCTGAGGCTCATTATTAAAAGTCCACCTAGTATTGCTACCTCCTACTCCGAACCCTCAGATTCATTTCTGCAGCCAATTG